CCTGAAAGATGGTACCCCTTACTCATCATCTGTTTTGCTTTGATCAGCAGAGCTGGCTGGCCAAAATAAGGCCCCCTCCCCAAAGGATTAGCACCATAGGCCACAAAGGACTATAAAAATTGTACTGCCCTGCAGAGATCTCACTAGGGTAAGGTATTTTCACACTAGTCTTATTAGGAGTTATGCTTCAATGTCAGCTGAACCCAAAATGGATATCTGAATACAGAAGATTTAATAGCAGAAATATAAAGAACTCACTTACCTTTTACAAGGTGCCGGCTCAAATTCTTCTAGCTAAACAGAAAGTGCTGAAATATTTTCAATCCCTTGCAGTTGGAAATTTAAAAAAGCCCCAACACTCTCACCAAAGGGACTGCAAGTGCTAATAGGATCAGATAGAGCATAACGCACAAACTGACATCCTAGGGCAATTATTTTGGGCAGAGGGCCGCTTACTGAGTTTTGGGAAGCCATTGAGGGCTGCATGACAGGCAGCCAGGAGCAGATAAATATTAATTTTCTAAATTTGTTAGGGGCCCCACGGGCTGGATAGAATGGCCTGGCAGGCCACATCTGGCCCACATGCTGCATTTTGCCCACCCCTGTCCTAGAGCAATCCATTAACGAAGTGACTTGGGCTGGAAAGCAGCAAATATCAATTGATTTCTGATCTTCTTCAATAACTGAGCACGATGGCTACATATGCAGCTACAGTAGGCTGAACTTTTCTTCCACTGAATGAGAAAAGTGTCCTCTTACTCAGACCATAGTTATAGAATTCTACTTTGAAAAGAACTACAATGTCTTGACTTACTCACTCCCTCCCTCACCTCCAGGGCTGGTCTCTCACATAGAGCTCTCTCATTCCCATACCCCTTCTGCCTGTTTTCCTGAGGCCAGGGCCAGATTAAGTCAGTTTAAGGCTGAAGACACACTTCCTCAGATCAGACTCTATAGCCTAGGTCTTGCCTGAGGATACTTATCTTGTCCTAGGGAATCCCATGCAACGCCTACCTGGTAAATTGGTGGGGTTTATATTGGTCCTCATTTTCAGCAAAGTTGAACAACTACTCCCTGTTTTCAAGCAAACTGAGGTACGCACATGTGCATGAGAGAGAATTTTCTGCCAAGCCATGGCAGGAAGGTCTCCCACAATTAAAGTGATTTACTAAGGTGGTGAGAGCACTGGGTTTTTCAGAGTTAATCATTCATTAGGACAGTGGACAGTTCCAAAAGGTATTGCTTTAGGCTATCTGTGAAGCCAAGCAAAGGTTACTTTTTTGGGTTGCATTAGGTCAGGTTTTCAAAAGTATTTTGTTTTTAAATTGTGCGGGCTAGAGATTGTAATGTCATCACAGGATTTGAAATCCAAAGCCTTAGATTTGAGCCTCTAGTTCCTACACCCAAAGGTTATGATAGCCTGAAATGGGAGAGGAAGTTCACACTGCACCAGACAAGGAAGTGGGGAGAGCTGGGAAGAAATGCCGCCTGTCTCAGGCTAGAAGACTTTAGGGTTTTCTCAATGAAGCATTAAGTCTACCATTAACAGAATGCCAATAGCTTGTAACAAAATGGTTGAGTTAGGACAGCTAGTGTGTACATATGCAAACCTGTGTGTATATATAATGCTGTTACTCTGTCTCAGTGATCCTCAACCAGGATGCCACAGCACCCCGGGGTGCCTTGAGATCCTTTCAAGGATGCTGTGGGGTGCCCCACAAATGTTAGGTGTGCAAACATGATTTACAAGATCAAACCAGAGATTCCAAATAGAAACCTATAGTTGTGAGCTCTTTGCAACAGAAAAAGTGTTCTAGTATTTTTCTGTAGCAAAGAGTGTAACTAAGAGCTTGCATTCCCTGATGGGGGCCTCCAGTCTATCCAGGGGTGCCTTGAGTCTAAGAAAGTCTAAAAGAACCACTGCACTGTGTTATGGGATCAGTGCAGTATATTTACAGTACTAGGTTCAGAAGAGATACTAGTTGGAAATGGACTTAATTTGTCTGTCAGGAAGCACTAAATAAATGCATCAGCCTTGAGAGGCTTTTGCTAACTCAGCAGAACCCAAAGCAAGTCTACCCAGCTAGGAAATGCAGGACTGCAAAAGTCAAGAGATAAAATTCATAGAGTGTAAGGCCAAAAGAGATTACTATGATGATCCAGAATGACCTCTTGCATAATACAGGTCAAAAGTGTTAGACATAATGCACCTATGAGATTTATTTCCAAGCTGAAAGGTTCACAAAATGCTGCTGAATCTATCCAGTCTCTCAGACATGCATTACGAGCGCTATTGCAGGGAGCATCAGGTCTTAGTAGAGCAGATAAGTATCCCAAGATGCAGTGGTGCCCACCATAAAGGCCTGTCAGCTTCTCAGCCCTTACTACTAACATACTACTTCTTTAAAAACATCTCAGAGCTTTTTTGGAGGGGGACAGGTGCTGAGTTTGTAATCTAAGGTACTCTGAACAAACACAAAATAAATCATCATCTCTGCTTCAAAGAGAAACCATTATAAATATACATCTTGTCCAGCATAAATGGTGTCTGTCATTGCTCAACCAAACTTTAACATGATCTTGCACAGGAGTTTTCTTGCGTGAACCAGCATAGCCACACTGAGGCCTATTAGTTTCACTGAAAATTAGTAGAGGAGGAATCCCCCAGATGCATGGGGTCTTAGAAACAGTCACACGGAGCACTATTCCTATTGTAACAGTCTTTACTCTTGGTCCATGTTATAGCCTAGGATGAGGTGAAGTTTCTCAAATGAAGTAAGGAGGGCCTAAGTTGAGCTGCACATATATTCTACCTCAACAAAAATTTGAATGATTATTCTAATCCTTTCTATCCCGTCTCTTACATGGCATGTACTGTCAAAAGTTTTATGTGAAGGAAACAAAGCAGTGAGGCAAGACTCCATTGTCTTGTACACATTTCCAGTATAAAAGAAACAATTTACTATTCTTTGTGCTTTCTAGTGATTTCAAAGATGAAATCTAGCTCCTTCAAAAAGTGTTATATATCATTTTAAAATATATTTACATTTTGGCACGACTCTATGGGCCATTGGTGTGTTTGTTTTAACTTATGTCTGGATAATAATTTAAAAAATGCACACCAATTTTCTTGTCCCCTACTATGACCCTTAATATTAAAGATATAAAATGAGAGAAAATTAGAATGCGGGGGGAAACATCACGATAGTAAATCTCTCAGAACAAATTCTGTCAGTAGCGGGGAAAGGTTTGCTGTGATTGCCTGTGCTTTGCCATTTCCAGTTCAGTAGTATCAAATGGCAGGAATTCACTGGGCAGTACAAGTGGAAAAGTGACACTGATTGGGCTAAATCCTGCTCCCTCTTGCTATATATACACAACTCCATTGATTCAACTGAGGAGGAAAGCAAGTAACATTTGGTCTGGAGAAAACAGCTATTTTTTCCAGACCCCCCAGCCAGAACCTCAGCGTGTGTGCAAGTGTGAAGGACACACACAAAGAGAGGAGGAGATCTGCTAGCTGTCAGTCTGCATGGATAATCTGCCCTCCGAGTGGCAGGCACCTTTCATCAGCAATGACGCAGCGTGGACTGGAGTGCTGATCTCTGGGACTGAGGGAAGCCTGCTTGACTCTCTGAACAGTCTCACACTTTTCAGTCAGTGAGGCAAGAAATTAGCCATTTGCACTTTGTGTACAAGCAGGCACCTCCCTGACCTTATGGAGAAAAGCAGGTGGTGTCGTTAAAAATAAACTATAAAATAATAATGGTAAAATATAGGAGTAGGAACTTACTCTACCAGTCACGTGGTGTTCTGTTCCCCGTGTTAATTTTTATTTTACTGCAACAGCAATTAAAGCCAGACAGACTCCATTCTGGGGTGGTGTCAGGACCAGTAACTAAATTATTTAACTTCCAAAGCATATTGTTGAATGCATTATACACAGAGACAATTTCTCCCATTCTCCCCACCATGTAAGTAGGAGGCTGTTCTATTGTTTCATGAGAGAACAGGCAAGAGTCCTACTAACGTACTGTAAGAGCTGGACGTGGAAGGATGTTTTTAGTATACTTTTTGTGATGATTCCAGTACTTTGGTTTAAGTCACTGTGACCATGCTCAGAGCCATAACATAAGAAAAATGTGCCCAGGGAAGTCCTTTCTTACCCCTTTCCCGAAAATCAGCATGCAGGAGCAGCAGCAAGCAGCTTCTTGGCCAATGTGTCACAAAGTGCAAGGTGTTCTGGGAACTGTAGTTCTGTACAGTGACAGTGGATTTTGCTGCTCCTGGTAAGAGGGGCTTTCACCCTATTTTATTTATTTTTATTTATTTATTTTTACAGGTGAAGCCCACGTTGGCAGGTCAAAAATATGCTGATTTCTGGTTGACAAAAATGGGGTCAATTTTCCCAGCAGTAGTGCCACCCTATAAAGCTACAATTCCCAGAACACTTTTCCTCCATGACACGTTGCCCCCACTGTGGCAGTGTGCATCTGGGAAATGAAATCGGAGAGGGGAATGGGACAGGGAGTCACCTCCCTTTTCTCCCTCCCCACCCTTTCTGGTGCCTCTTCCCTTAGGCACTGCCCAGGGCATGTGCCCCACTCCCCCACTTCATGTTAAACCCACTGGCTGTACTTATTTTTATGCCCGCGTTATATGCTGATAGATTTTACTTTTTTATTTCAACAACATAAAGCAATAGGCTCTCACTTGTGAATTATCCGATTCGATCCATTTGATAACTACACTTTTGATAAAAAAAATATAAATCAGACATGAAGCTGATCAGCAGCATCCTTGTAAAACATTACACATAGACCAGAGATGGTGAAATAATAATCAGACCAAAAAGGCTGATACATTAATGGACCTTCTTTTATTTTATTTGGCTAATTTTGCTCGTTTTCTTGAAAGAAGGTAGGTTTCACTATATCTACTTTTAACAACAACTAGAACTAATGGTCTACATTATTGCAGCCCTGTGTTCTGGCTTAGTCATTTCCAAGCATGCCCCATCTATCCTCTCCAATAAATATTCCCTATGGTTGTTCTTAGCAGCCATCTTCAAGCATTCTGGAGTCCAAGGTCGCTAGAGCAACTGGGGATTGATCCCCAAAGCACCTTCATTTCCAGTTTTGGAGCATGTGTGGGCAGGGCATACTTAGTAGCATCTTGGCTGATGCACACTGCCACTGCAGTGTAGACGTGCCCTAAAAGACCTTGTCATGGGCCAGGACTGCATTGTGGAGAAGGCTACAAAAGCACAGACCAAAACAATGTTCACTGTCCAAAAGATCCTATAGGGAATATAGTTATACTTAGAAGAAAAATACTCATATATGAGAAATACCCATTCTCAAAAGTACCTGGCAGTTTAATTCCGCTTTCATTTGAGGTTTAATTCTGCTTTCATTGCAGTCAATGGTAAAGCTCCCATCAACAGTCAATCCAACAGTGATTTCAACAAAACAAAATTAGTTCAACAATGATGTGGTAGGGTTTGAAATATCCTACTCCTAATGCGTTCACAAATATTGAGTTAATGAGCAATTCAGTAAAATCCCAATGTTATAAACAAGGCAGTAAATCTTAGAACACATGGAAAACTCATAATAGGCATGACACTAAACGGAAAATAAATTTAATTGAGATTGTAATAATGCCTCCCTAGGAAGAAAAAAAAGCCACAAAACTGATAGTATTGACATAACAAAAACAGGTTCCACATAAGAGCCACCAGACCTTGCTTTTTCTATATGAACCAAAAAAAAAAATCAACAAAGGATTAAGTGTACCATTAAGTTGCTTCTGGGCTTTGCCTGACCAGAGATTTTGCCTCGAGCAAATTTCCTGTATAACAAAGACAAAAGGAGAAGAGAGACAGGTTGGCAGATAAGAATGTAGAACAAGATATGAAGAGCAGATAGGATCAACTAACATATAATACAGTATATAAGCAAACTGTTCCGGCTATGGCAGAAGGAGGGGTTGTGTTCATATACTTCAAAGCAAGATATAACCATGCATCTTTTGCTGAAGTTAATAAAAATATTAAAAATTAAAACACATCAACAAGACAAAAGGATTTAGGATTGAAAGATTTATAAAATCCTAACCAAGTAGAGTAGGGCAGATGATAAAAAACACATTTCCAGACATCAAAAGTGTAAATCATGTAGAAAATTAACATGATTAAAGTTATGAATTTACATTAAAAAACATTTTTTTCTCTGAATTAAACAATAAAATGTTCCAGACCACACAAATAAAAGAGCCTTTCACTGTATGTTTTATACTGGCCAAGAGGCCAACTTCAAAACACCATATAACCTGTATGTTTGATACAGCAGGTAATCTACTATGTGTTTTTAAGAAACTAAGGCTAAAGAAAACTGAAATGTGGATATATATTTGTGTATACTTAGTAAATAATCAGCATCTTGAATTTAATGACTAATCAGGGAAGAAAGGAATAGCGGAGCTTAGCTAACATGCTTGAGTCAACCAATTTGGAGAAAGAGCATATTATAATTATGTTTCTTTGAGGCAATCATTATATAAACCAAGAACTGGTTCTAGTACTACTGGAAATGTGTCTAGTACCTGATCTGTTTGAGTATGAAGCAAACTCTGCAAATAAAGAGCATCCATTCTGTTTTTGCATGCGTGCCTGAAATTTTCTTCCATAAGATGTAACAATATTCTTTCTGCCAGTATGTTCCTGAGAGTTTCTTCATCATGTTGTCCACAGTAGGTACCATAAAATTATAGAATATTGCCTGCTTGTTCCATCATATAATGCAATGTCTTATGACCAAGGACTGTAAATATGAAATTGGCTTCTCTTATGTTCAGTATAAATTCTTAGCAGCAGAGGGTAAACCAGATCTTCAGCTCCAAGTCATAGGTCCAAGTCAGTGGAAGTTTTTCCACTTACACCAGCTGAAGTTTTGCATCTTTGTTTCTGAAGAAACAAGTAGATTTCTCCTGCACAAAAAAGATACACTAGGCCAAATTCTATTCTCAAATATAACATGAAAGCCCATTAACTTCCGTAATGGCTTCACTGCTATTACAGAGATCCAAGAGAAATCAGAACACAGGCCAATCTTTTCCTGAATGTAGAAATTACTGGAAAAGCTGACTGGCAGTCCTGGCTATAGCCTGATGTTTAGAGTGATAAAGGTCAATAATACAAAGTAAATATAATCTAATCAGTCAAAAATTGAATTTCCCAAGGCGATAGCAATTCCTCTCGATTCCAAGACTCCTCCCAAGAGACAAGAGCCTATTGTGCAGTGACTTCCAACAAATAAGGGTCATGAATCCCATGGGAATTATATTGGAAGAACTGGAAAGTGGCGTGGCAAGTTGAGCAGAAATTGGGCTGCAGACCTGGACTTGAGACCACACTTTCCAAGCCAGAAAGTTTGAAAATCATTGGCCTATTGCTAAACTGAGAGAGGCATTGAAAATACCAAGCTCTAGAGCTACATCCAGATCTCTCTCCTTTCCCCCCATATTCAGAGATGTTTGAATACATGATTTTGCTGCAAGTTTCACCCTAATTGAAAATGGTTTGATCTTTAATTCTCTCTCCGATCTGATAGGCAAAGATGCTGAAGAGTGCCACATTCAATCACTAACCTGTGGCTTCAGAAGAATAGAACTGGTAGTTTGTTTATGAAAGCCTGAATTAGAGACCAGTGACTTGAGATAAGATAGGCAGTCAGCTCTGACTCTGCCACTACAGACTTCTGGTCTGCTTGTAAGAGAAGACATGTCATCATTTCCTTGATAGTCCCCAGGATTCCAGGGAAATCTTTCAGCAGCAGAAAGGGGGAAATGAAACGAAGACATTCAGAAGGAAGAATGAAGCAGTGTTCTTCAGTTACTATGTTTGGAGGTTCTGCATTCAGCACTGAACAGATTTCTGGGCAGTCTCACGCATCATCTGCAATACTTAAGAGAAATTCTAAGAGGCATTAGTAAAAGAAATACATAAAAAATGCAAATTGTGTTCAAAGTTGTGTTAGGTCAGGTCCACAACAGGTGAAGAAGCTAAGACACTCCTGAAGAGAAAGAAGTGAGGAGAGGAGAGGTCAGCTTCGCTTTGATTCTGATCAGTAGCTATGTGTATTCCACCTTAGGATGGTCTTTCTATTTCCAGTTCATTAATTCCCATGTGCATATATTTTGGCCATTAGCAGAAAGATGCTGAGATAATTTATATGGAAAAGACTTAGACTGCTAAATCCGCCAGTCCAGAATTGTTTCCCTCTTTACCTGTGGTACTTTGAAGGGGTATTTATAGGGGGCTGAGGCTGTGTGAGATAGATTATCTTCTGAACCCTTTTGGAGAGATGGATGCCTGGGATCATGAGGGACTAGACTTGATGGCCTGGGAAGCCCTAAGGAATATGAATGTTTCTATGTATATGTGCCAATAACACATCCAGCCTATTTCTAAAGCACTGCAGATAGGGTTACCCTACAGAGCTGCCATGCTGGGCATGCTTCCAGGGTGCTCATCACTATAACCCTTTAATCCTCCAGGTTAGGAGTGGAACAGAGCCTTGCCACAAACCTCTATCATTTGTTCTGAAATAGTGACTCTGTTTGCTGGATGCAGCAGTAACCATTTATCCTCTGCGTACCCCCTGTATATCCACCTTGTGTTACACTATTTCATAGCTAAAAGTCAAGATACGAGCTAATTAACATTGTTCCTTGGGTGCCAAAAATGGTTTATCCCAACTTTGTATTAATGTGCTATTATAGACCAGGACTACGGATTCCCAGAGGGGGCTGCAAAACTGTGCAATACTCTTCATAATGGAGAACAAAAGGTTTGTCAGTCAACCTATGTTATAAAATCCCATCCTGATTTGTTTTCTATGGAGTTTTTTGTCCACAACTTTTGAACCCCTCAAAAAAACTGCTTGATCTCCATCCTCTAATACGGATCTCCAGAGAACCATAGCACAGTGGGCCAGAGCACTCACTGGATGTAGGGCGAAATGAAGGAACAGCTATTATCACAGTATACAGAGAAGCCTTCAATGGCATCTGGCTTCCCATTCCATTCCTCTTGGGTGAATATAGCTAGCAGGTATTTGGCCGAGTTGTAAAAACTCTCTCTTTGTCATGAATGCAAACAGCAGCTTTCTGCTTATGTTACGTTCCATTTCAATGAAGATTCTATTGGAGCCAATTGTCACTGAAACATCTGCACCTGTCCCCGATCCTTTTTATTACCTTGTTCAGCACACACTAATTGAATTGAAAATTATTCACAGAAGGCTCCCTCCTCTCCATTACTCTTCCTCCTCCTTTCTGCTCTTCTCTGACCTGAATTAAATGACACATCTTCTGTTCTAATATTTCATCTTTAATGCTGATGCCCTTCACGGGAATAGTAGAAGGCAAGAAAGGGGGTGCTATAAATGAGATCCTTCCTTTGAAATAAAATACACAGCTTTCCAACAAAGTGACATATTATATATTTTATACACAGACACATTTCTTCCTGTCTTCACACTTTTCTGCCATGAATTTTAAAGACCACACACTGTAAAACCTCCAAACCAAATTCAGATGACTTTGCTAACTTCATTTTTTTAATTTCCACATCTCTCCACAACTCTTTTTCTTCCTTTGTTGCAGATTTCCTCTTTAATTCTTAAAAAGAAAGGCTTGCCAATCCTACTGCCCTGGCCAGTGTGAATACAGCAATAGATATTTTTAAACCACCCAAGTGAACCCTCCTCTCCCTCCCTCCTCCCAAAAACCCATATCACGCAAGCATCTCTCTCCTCTTTCTGATGGAAGTAATTTCATTATTTTAAAAGCACTTATGCAACCAACAGAGGCGACACAATGTGCGTGTGTGTGCGTACAAGCCTCTTCCACAGTCAATCTGATTGTGCCTTCTCCCCTCTCCACCTGCTTCCTTCTCTACCCATTATCAATATTAATCTTTAAATTTTTTTTTTAACCAAACATAGGGCAATACCCACATATTATTTTTTTACCATGAGTTTCCACTGTACAATGCTTAAACCAAGCAAGTCGCTGTCATAGGTAAAACAGATATGCACATTGTGCCCTTGTGATGACTTTATTCAAGTCTAGCTCATCATGGAAGTCACTACCTTTCAACTAAGTAAAGAACCCTTGGCTATCAGGATTAACCCTCTATGTGCCAGTTTCCAGGCATGTTCAGAGACTCTGAAGTACTGCAAAGGCCCTGTTCAATCTACAACATGTCAGCATTGCTATGGAAATAATACCATTATTTTTTCTCAGTTAGAGTTAACATATTTAAATAGCTGTTAGACAGTTCCCTCCTCACCTAAAACTAGACAGAATACTTTTGGTCTTAGAGCATTAACATTAAATGTAATGACCTCCACTTGGTAAGTGAGATGCATACTACATGCAGCAGATACTTCATGGTACTTATTATTGAAGAGTAATATGAGGAGTACTTGTTGGGAGCCAGTATAAGAACTGAAGGGTAGGCAGTATTGTTCAGGGGATAGGACCTGCAGGCACTCATGTAACAAATTCAATGAAAAAGAGAAGCTTCATGAAAATGGTGTTAGCACAGAGCTATGGCATCCTGAGGAGCCTTCAGCTCTTCCAAAACACCCTGCTCAATAAACTCAAGCTTCTGAAAACAAGGCAACAAGGCAATACCTATCCTATTTTTAAAAACCACTTCTAGGGTTTGTGCAGTATAAATAAGCTCTTCGCTGGTAACAACCAGCCATCCTTATCTCTGCCCAGCTGGCAATACCAACGGGAATTACCTGCATGTACTCCAGCTGCATTTGCTGTTTGGTGTA